ATATGGCATTCTCCTCTCTGTGTGTCTGTCTCTTCCCCTTTTCTTATGAGGGCATCAGTCATATTGGATTAAGGGCCCACCTACTCCGGTATGACCTCATCTTAATCATCTACAAAAAACCCTATTTCCAAATAAGATCATATTCTGAGGTTCCAGGGTGGACATGAATTTTGGAGGAACACTCTTCAACCCAGTATAACTACCAAACAGCCTATATTGATGTTTCTCCATCTTAGCAGATCAGAATGTGTACTGTTAGAAAAACATATAATGGACTAACTACAGGCAAACTCTTCTTGGCACGCAAAAAAATTATTTACATTTATTTTACATCTAATCTTTTTATCTGAAGGATAAATAAAACCTTTCAGGGCCGGCCCGGTGGCGCACTGGATAGTGCGCCGCTTGGGAAGCGCGGCGGCGCTCCCGCCCGAGGGTTCGGATCCCACCTACCGACCGGTTCCCGCTGACTGGCTGAGCGAGGTGCGGGAGCAACGCTGAGGGTTGCGATCCGTTGCCGGACATGGAAAAAAAGACAAAAGACAAAAAAAAAAAAAAAGAAAAACAAACCAACAAACAAAAAAAAAAAAAAAGAAAAACAAACCAACAAACAAAAAAAAAAAAAAAGAAAAACAAACCAACAAACAAAAAAAAAAAAAAAGAAAAACAAACCAACAAACAAAAAAAAAAAAAAAGAAAAACAAACCAACAAACAAAAAAAAAAAAAAAGAAAAACAAACCAACAAACAAAAAAAAAAAAAAAGAAAAACAAACCAACAAACAAAAAAAAAAAAAAAGAAAAACAAACCAACAAACAAAAAAAAAAAAAAAGAAAAACAAACCAACAAACAAAAAAAAAAAAAAAGAAAAACAAACCAACAAACAAAAAAAAAAAAAAACTTTCAAAAGGAAATTAAAAAATAACAATGCCCATGAAAAAAAAAAAAAAAAAAAAAAAAAAAAAAAAAAAACCTTTCAAAGTGAATTTAACAATGACAATGTCCATGTAATAAAAAGTAAAATTGAGATTTGGTAGTTCTGTGGTTAGTTTGGTCTATGCAGAGGTAAATTTAAAAAAATCAGCCCCTCACCAAAAAAAAGCATAAAATCAGTTCACAAAATACTGTATGGGGCCTGTTTTATGAGACGCTCTCATTAGAGGTCAAAGACATTGATCCGATTGTCACTTTCCTATGTGCCGTGTCGTCTGTCACTCAGGAGAGGATTTTACAACATAAAATTATATCCTCTTACATCAGAAGCAGAAGGTGCAGCTCCTGCCATTACCCTGCAGGCTGAGGCCTAAATTCCTGGGCACAGCTCACTAGGTCCTGGAGAACCATCCTCCAGCCGCAGTGCTCACCAACTTCCCCTCCATTCCTCCCACCCCAACTCCAGGCCTCAGAACTACTTTCGGTGGACCACAGACTTCACCACGCAGTCCCTAGCCTCCTTCCCCTTTTCTCCTGGCCAGTTCCTACTTTTTTTTTTTTTCCTTTTCCTTTTCCTTCAGCTCTCACTGTAGACTTCACTTTGAGCCCTGACCTCTGCACTCCTGATGAGGATGGTTGTGTGTCCCCCTGGTTGCTTCTACTCTACAATATCTTGTGCATTCCCGAATCTCAGCTCTCATGACCTGTGATGGGAATGCCCCATCAACTGTCTGAATCCACCCCACACCCAGGGGAGACAGCGGCAGTTGTCTGCCTTATTTACCCTATTATTCAGCAGCAGCTCAATAAATAGCTGTGTAATAAGTGACATAAATATAAAAATGTATGTTAGGTGTTAGAAAAAGAGCTAAGAAGTTCCTTCACAGGAATGTTTTCTTTTTTTAAAAAAAAAAGAAACTGTATCTTTGTAGACAACATATACATGCATACTTTGCTACATTTTGTGTGATTGTTACATTTTACATCTCTATAATGATACAGGCAAGTCATCCTTGTTCCCATAACCAGCATCTGTTAGATGACATTCTACTCCTGCTCGGGGTTACAGGCTTTCAGAAGCCTGGACTTGGAGGATCACACTTGTTTCTAATGCAGTCTCCGAAATCAACAGTATTCAAAATAGTTGTCCAGGGTCTTCAGACAAAATAACATCTCCTTAGAAACACTTCCCGGAGCCAAGATAATGTTCAGGGGAAAATGATAACAGAATAGCATACATAGGGCCGGCCCGGTGGCGCACTGCTCCCGCCGAGGGTTCGGATCCCACATACAGACTGGCCGCTCACTGGCTGAGCGAGGTGCGGGCGTGACACCGAGGGTTGCGATCCCATTGCCGGTCCCGGTCCGGTACGGGCGCGACACTGAGGGTTGCGATCCGTTGCCGGTCATGAAAAAAGGGAAAAAAAAAAGAATAGCATACATAATATGTATCATACCATCCACTCATGTAAAATTGTGTAAATCTATAATTATCCATGTATGGATATAACACGTGTAAAGTAATAATGTTCATCAAAGTGTAAACAGTGGTTATCTCTGGGCTGGGATTCCAAATGACCTTTACTTGGTACTTTTTTTTTTTTTTTTTTTTTTTTTTTAAAAAAAACCTTTAAGGGGCTTCCACCCCCTTGTTTGGGGTTTTCACCCCCATTCCCCCCCCGGGAG